GACTGGGTCTCACTCTGTCACCAAGATTGAAGTGCAGTGGTGCTATCTGGGCTCACCACAACCTCTGCCTCCCAAGTAGCTGAGACCACAGGCATGCCACCACGCCGGCTAATTTTTTGTATTTTTGGTAGAGATGATGTTTTGCCGTGTTGCTCAGGCTGGACTTGAACTCCTGGGCTCAAGTGATCTACCTACCTTGGCCTCCCAGAATGCTGGGATTACAGGCGTAGGCCACTGTGCCCAGCCCCTTATTATTCCTTTTAGCTTATCCCTCTTTCTCTCCTTGACCACTTAATGTGCAGTGCCCAAGTCTTAACTCAGTTCTCTTCTCTCCTTACACTCACTCCAGAGATGAGCTCATCCTGTCCGCTGCTTCCAATTCCTTCTGCAGGCTGGTGGCTCCCCCAGGTATGTCCCTATTCAGCACCTCTTCCTGAACCCCAGATTCCTCTAGCCATTTCAGGCTGGAGTCCAGGGATAAAAAGATGTTCCCAGCCTCCATGGAGGCCTCTTATTTCAAGGTCTGAGCCCAGGAAGCTGTACATCACGGCAGAGTGACCTGGCAGAGAATGTCTGCCTCCCTAGCCAGGCCACATGGCCCTGTACTCAGTAAGCCTCACCCCTGCATCGCCCAGAATCTTTCTCCATCCTTGATAAACATGACTGCCTCTTGATTCATGGGAGGAGTACCAGCTGCACAATCCTAAAGCCATCTGAAATCTTAGGGAACTTTGGAACAAAGGGTCTCTGGCCAAGCTCCAGTTCACCTCCAATCCTCTTGCCTGGTGATTCCAGGAATGTTCTTTCCCCACTCTGCCTTAGAGATAATCTAGTTAAACCCTCCTCCTCATTTTCCAAATATGAAAACCAAGGCACAGAAAGGGATGAAACTGTGCAGGAACACAAGGGGGTGTCAGTGTTACAGCAGAGTCACAAGCAAGGTCATTCTGACCCTAAAGCTTATACATTTAGCCTGTAAATATAGAGGCCAAAGATCATGCATATTTAGTTGATTTGACATATTGTTGCACATAAAGATTTAAATGACACCTGTGTTCAAAAGACAGCAATGGCACCTGGATGAACCACAGCCCAACAACCCCTCTCTCGGTAGAAAACCAGCCAATTTCTCCTTGGTTCACACAAAGCAGGGGGACTTCTCTTTCTGGATGAGACCCCCCCAAACCCCACCCCCTTCCCAGCACTGCTACAAATACATCTCGTATATAGGACAGCATGTCTATAAAACAAAAGCCACACATCCAGACAGCATGCAGCCCAGGTTCTCTGCTAAGTCTTTCTCCAGTTACTGAAAACAACAATCCCCAATTTCCAGCAGCGTCTGAAATACAAGTCAGTTACACAATAATGAACAAACTACTCAGAGACCACACCTAAACACATTCATCGAAGGCACGCAGAACAGCTTTTTTATTACAAGTAATAGAAAACACTTGAATCTAGCATAAGCCAAGAGAAGTATTTTTTCTATGAATAGAGGGTTCAAATGGGCTCGAAAAGGATTCGGGGGCTCAGGTAACAGGATGATCTCTCCCTGGCTTCTGCTTTTCTCTGTGTGTCTTTGCCTCCTTCCCTCCTTTGTGCACCAGCTGCCTCTGCTTCCTGGTCTCTTGACTACCCAAGCATTGAGAATCATGTGTCCTAGAGACCGTTGCACAGAAATCACAAACTCTCCAATGGGATCAGTTTGAAACTCCTGTGGAAATGAGTCTATCTGTCTGAGACGCCCACCTCTGGTCCAATCAAGTAAACTTGGAGAGTGGGACCACACGGTACGATATGGCCACCGGGATAGATGCAAGATGATGACAGTCTGGGAAGACCCCCTGAAAGTGAACACTACCCACCCCAATACTTAAGCCAAATCTACCTCTTGGTAAGGGAAAGGACAGAGTAGTTGAAATGTGTGGAGAAAATAAATCTCCTATGATGTTGAAGGCCTGGAATGTGGATACTTCAAACTCCAAAAAGAAGCTTCAGATCCATTGGTGCCATGGGCCACTGGAGTCTGGTTTGCTCTCTAGCACAAAGAACAAGCAGGGAGGGCTGCCTGAGATCTGCAGGCCCAGGCTCATTAGTGCAGGACTGAAGCAGTTGTTTCAGAAACTCAGGTTCTAACCCATTCCTGAGCACAGAGGGCTCCCTGCACTGACGCGCATGGGCCAAGGTCAAGATAGATCTCAGTGTCTGCCCCACCAAACTATAGTAGCCAGGGTCCTTTCCTTAGTAGCCTGTGTGTCAAGTGATTTACGTTCTCAGGTGACATTGTGACTCTCACCATGGACACCATGAGAGCAGGGTGGGACCCATCCATGTCTGAAGTGGGGACTTTCACAGCAGTTTCATAGAGAAACCCCTGCTCAGTTGAAAAGTATATTCTCAAGTTTCCTTCCGGTTGTCAACCTTCTGTCACCAACCCAGCCCACATCCCATAATGAACAGCCAATGCGGGGCCTTCTGATGTTTGCTTTTCTAGGATCCTGTCTGTGTTCTGAATCCCCTTGATACACATCACTGAAACTTGAGTTGTGTAAGTTCAGGGCATTCTCAACCACTCCTCCTTTCCGGATGTTCACCTTAAAATTCAAGTTGAATGATGCGCTTGACCTTTTCAAGTTGCCTACCCAGAGCAAAGAAACGAGTTCTCTCTCAGGGAAATGCAGTCTTAATTTGTATGTCAAATATTTATCCAGGCATGGGATACAAAGATAGATATGGCTAGTCATACCCTCATGATCCTACAGCCCTGCCCTTCCCTAACATAACAGATAAGTAAACAGCAGGATTGTTCTGGCAATGGACAACAGCAGCCCTCAACAAGTGGATTCAGAATGAATGATCAGATGATAAGAGTTTTAACCATGAGAATAGAGGAGAGACTTCTGTGCAGTTACAAAGCCACTCAGAGACCAAGACAGTCTTCATTACTGTCCACTCTAATTGCCTGTGACTCTGAGGCCTCTCTGTGGCTAATAGCAGGCCTGGCAACTTATGGTAGTTATACTGTTTCTTTCTTTCTTTCTTTCTCGGGACGGAGTTTCCCTCTTGTTGCCCAGGCTGGAGTGCAATGGCGCAATCTCGGATCACCGCCACCTCTGCCTCCTGGGTTCAAGTGATTCTCCTACCTCAGCCAACCGAGTAGTTGGGATTATAGGCATGTGTCACCAAGCCTGGCCAATTTTGTGTTTTATTAGAGATGGTGTTTCTCCATGTTGGTCAGGCTGATCTCAAACTCCCCACCTCAGGTGATCTACCCATCTTGACCTGTTAGGATTACAGGCATAAGCCACCACACCTGGCCCAGTTTTACTGTTTCTTGCCAATCTTTCACTGAGAGGACTTTTGAAGGCAGGCATGAACCTGCGATGTGGGTCACTCCTGGGGAGAAGCAGAAGACTGGGTATACATTTCTGAAATGCCCTCTGGTCTGCTGCCATGTCTTTTGTGATTGCAGACCGATTGGTAGGTATAAAGTTGTACAAGGCTGGGCACAATGGCTCACATCTATAATCCCAGTGCTTCAGGAGGCTGAGGTGGGCAGATCACTTTGAAGTCAGGAGTTCAAGACCAGCCTGACCAACAAGGGTGAAACTCTGTCTCTACTAAAAATACAAAAATTAGTCGGATGTGGTGGTGTGTGCCTGTAATCCCAGCTACTTGGGAAGCTAAGACAGGAGAATCACTTGAACCCGGGAGGTGGAGGTTGCAGTGGGCAGAGATTGCGCCACTGCACTCCAGCCTGAGTGACAGAGTGAGACCCTGTCTCAAAAATAATAATAATAAATTTGTTGTGCAAACATTCTGGAACTTGAGCAAATGCATGGAAAACAACTGCCCTTGGGGGTTGCCTGGATCTAGGCAATGGACTTGGACTCTGAGTGATATTTGGGGGTTGTTACTGCAATGCCAATAGCCCACCCTTCCTGGGGCCAGGCCAGGACTGAAAGATCTGGTGACAACTTCAGGCCAAGCAAATGCATTCTGTGACCAGAGGGAAGGATCAGGGCAGGAAATGGATGTGCCTTTCCTGGATACATTTTGAATATTAACATGTTTGCCCTCTATTTACTTAGGAGGCTGTAGGCAATCTCAGACTACCTGGCTGAAACACCTTTGAGCCATAGAGGGGACTGAGCAGAATGGTCCTTATGTAAGTCCTGTTTGTAGGGCTGAATAAAGTGTTTTTAAGATGTCTCTAGGCCCTTTGATCTGAGGAAATTGCACAGTGGCCTCATTGCCAGCCTTTCTACGTATTTATTTTTTAATTCCCTTAGTACCTCATTTGAGGTGTAAGTGCCTGGGGCCAGGCCAGGGCTGAAAGGTCAGATGACAACTGCAGGCCGAGCAAATGCATTCTGTGACCACAGGAAAGGATCAGGGCAGGAAGGGGATGCTCAGCCTCCAGCTAGAGAGAAGGTCTGAGAGAAGGGAGAGAGGATGAGAGGGATGGGGATTCCCTAGAGAACCTAGACACTTAGTGCACCCCTGTAAAACGTTCACGGGAAAGAAAAGAGGGAGTGGAGGAAGCTGTGAGGATTTCATGAAGTGATTCTAAGGCTCTCATGAAAGAATGAATCTCAAGGGTTAGGAAAACTGCTTAAAATAAGATAATTAGAATGGGCCGGAC